ATAAATATCAATGATGGATTGATGAAGGTTCATGTTCAAGATGAAGAAGTGTGATTCAATCTTTTTGAAGCCATGAAATACTCAAAAGACAAAGGATATTGTTTCCTGATGGATGCCACTGATGAAACCATCATGGATGTTCGAAGACAAGTGCACTTATCCACTCCTGTAAAGAAAGCTTTAACTGATGCACTTAAAGTTCTTAATAAAGATAAAGAAAAATAGATTGAAGAGTGCTTGAGAGAACTTGAGTCATTAGAAGAAATTCACCCTCTTGAAGCCAAAGTTGAAGAATTTAAAGATGAACCAAAGAAAGATGCCACTAAAATTGAATTGAAGATTCTACCTTCACACTTGAAGTATGTGTTCCTTGAATAAGGTGATAACAAACCCGTCATTATCAACAGTTCATTATCTGATAAAAAAGAAAATGGATTGATTCAAGTTTTAAAGAAAAATCAAAAGGCAATAGGCGTCAACATGTTGAAACTCCTAAAACAACTCATATTGATTATAGTGATTCAGCTCCACATACTACTACTACTAATTCTAATGATTATGCAAATGTTCCAATCTCTTGTCCTTATGGACTCCACATTTTGTAGCAAGTCTTATTATTATTTTTTACTCATTTGCCTCATTAACTCATTTCACTCATAGTCACCAAAATCATAATCAAAACTTTGGTTTGTTAATGTAAATTTAATTATTGATCATAAATGAAATGTAAAATGATGTTAACCTTAGTTCAGAACTTGATATTTATTATAATCGATTTGTTAGTATCTGTAATAGTTATAATAGGGTCGCATTTCTATTTAAACTGTATCTTTTAGTATCATATTATTATTATTATTATTATTATTATTATTATTATTATTATTATTATTATTATTGTTATTATTATTATTATTTGTTTTAGACTTATGATTGAGTAAATGTATCCATATAAATAGAGACTACTATTAAGTATTTTGTATCATGTCAATAACTATTATCAATAATGTTGTTCTCTCACCTTTTACATATAATCACAAATTCAACATGATATATAAAACATGTTTTTTCTTTGGGTTCTACCATCAAGGCTAAACTTAATTTTTTATTTATTATTTACTTGTCATTTGGTCACTGTGGGGCATGAATCTACAATCAATAAATTAAGAGCATATCCATTTTGTATCATTTTAGAATATTACTAACACATGATTTCCAATTACGAGAGGTCATTTAGAGCTTTCTTTGCAACTCTTGGCTCTTTCAATCATTTTTATGCGTTTCAACCCTTCTATAGTTATTTTCTAGTCAATTTAGCCTAGCACTTCAATTTTATCTTGTTTTGCTGCAAACTTGTTTTCCAGCATCAATTAATGGTAAATTTGGTTAGTTGCTTATGGATGCCAATATGTTTCATCTCCAACCATTACAGTTTATTTTGGTAATTCTGTGGCTTGCCTATCTCATTATGTGGGATCATGAATTTTAGATTCGAGTGCTTCTGATCATGTACTTGGTAATCTATCTTGTATCTCTAATTTATTAACTCCTAAAATACCTCATTATATTACTCCTTCTAATTGTTCAAGGCACAAGTTATTATTATTGGTCAAGCTTTACCTATACGATCTATATCATTGAATTATATTTTATTTGTACTTAATTCTCCATTTAATTTGATTTCAATAAGTAAATTTACCCACTCGCTCAATTGTTCCATAACATTATCTTCCGAGTCTTTCTTTATACAAGATTGTAGTATGAAAAATACAATTGGAACAAAATCTGAATTATAGGGTCTATATTACCTTCATCATCACCCACTACTACAAAATGGTCTTTTAACTTGATTGTAATAAGTAATTTATCCCAATTGAGAGGGTGAGGTAACATAAGACGTCATCAAAGTGACTATTTTCCCCTCAGACCACTGATAATTGAAGTGAAAAGTGGCTTTGGTCATAAGTTCAATTCCCATCAATAGAATTTTCAAAATAGCACAATGGACTTTTCCCCTATATTAGGAGTCTGAACTGATGTGAAATGTAGCACCCGCTTTTGCTATCGTTTGAGACTTTTAACTGTGGGATAAATTTTAGGGGATAACTTTTCCTCTCATTTATGACTTTTAGCCAAGGAAAAATCTACTGTATCTTCCATCACTTTTAATATACTCTTTATATGTTGAGGATGAATGGAATTTTTTAAAAGCATAAACATTTATTTATCTTTATTAATATATGTATTTCATAAAAACATAACCATTTATTCAACAAAAAATAAATTTCATTATCTAGAAAAACAATTGCAACCCAAAAAGAAAATGGTGAATGGTAAGAAATTAAAAAAGAAAATGCGTTGCTTTCTTTTCAATTTCTTACCATTCAATATTCTCTTATTAGTTTTCAATTCTTCTTTGTTGAAAAAATGATTATGTTTATATGAAATAGATAATTTAATAAAAAAACAAATGTTTATGCTTCAAAATAAATTTAATTTTTTTAAGCCTAAAATGTCAAGAACACTGGAAAGTGACAAGATACAAAATTTAGAAAGCCATCATTAATATGAGGAATATACAAAATTATCATATTATCTTATCATTTCAATGAACCTTAGCTAAAAAATTCTCCTGTAAACAATTCCCATATACTTTGTGCTGCAAGGTCATTCATTAATGCCATTACTTTATAAGAATTTTAGTCTTATGTCGGCTGATGATGCATTATATATATTAATACAAAATATAAGAAATTGAATCATCTCAACAATAACAACATAACAAAAAGAGCAACATTAAGAACACCAACAAACTTTAAATATAGTGTTATATCGACATCAAATACAAGAAGTTGGGTCATCTTTACAACAACAATAATAACAATAAGAACAACAACACAAAAATCAAAATAATCAGTCCACCTTAAATCTAAAAAATAAAATTAAACATTGAACATTACCTGACACAACAAGAAAAACAACTTACATTGCTAAGTTAATTCATGATTTCATTGTCTCTTTAGAGTTGAAGAAGAGACGAGGAGATCTAAAACTCGTTAATGAAAGAAAAGATATTTTTGAGTTTCGTGTATGTTTTAAATGATATTTTCAAGTTTGGTTTAGTGCAAAAATATGATTTGATTAATGGAAGATGAAGTTTGGAGGTAGATGAAAGCAACTTCGTCTAGGATTTCGTTAACAATAACACAAAAGTTAAAGAATATAAAGCGTTATATATACCTTAGAAAAACAAAACTGATTGACTTTTTCCCTCGATTGAGACTATTTTTCATTTAATTTTTTATATAAAAAGACACCAATATTTTATAAATAAACACAAAATTATTGTCGCCAGGAGGCGAACCCATGACTTGTTATGTTTGTTCACTCGGTTGAGAGATACAACTTAGGTGAAATGTCATGTATTTCTAATTTACAAATTAAATAGAAAGGCATTAGAAGTCGAACCTATGACCTGTTCAACTTATCCCCTCACTCTAGCCTTCCAACCGTGATGAAATATTATTTATTTTAATTTCAAAATAAAAAAGAAAGAAATCTAATTTTAAAGATTTCACTTCGGACCTGTATATAACTAAGGTGAAAAGTTTATTAGAAAATATGTATTTTATTACAGTGATCCATCTACCATTTTTTAAAAAAATTTTTGCACCTCTATATATCATTCATTGTTGTTTGAGTCATCCAAACTTAGATAAATTAAAGATGTTGGTTCATCAACTTTCACATTTAAAGTCACTAAATTGTGAGTTATGTCAATTTGACAAATATGTCAGAGCATATTTTCTATACAACTCCAACAAAAGATCCATGTCTCCCTTTGATATTGTTTACTTTGATGTTTGAGGTCCTAGTCAAGTGTTTTCTCTGAGATACATATATAATATAACTTTTATTAATGATTTTTTTAGATGCACCTAAATTACTTTTTCATTGAAATATCATTCATAATTGTTTGATGTCTTTTGGCATTTTGTTATGAGATAAATAATGGATTTAGAAAAAGTAATTCGAATTTTGCAGAATGACAACATAAAGGAATGTTTTTTTTTTGCACCATTCAACTCTTTCATGGCTTTTCATGGCATTACACATCAATCTATTTGTCCAAACACACCAGATCAAAATGATATTGCTAAAATAAAACATCATCATTTAGTTTATACAACTCAAACCTTGTTGATCAATGCCCACACACCTTTTCAATTTCTCACTACTTATTATTTGATAAACCACATGTCATCCTCAATATGGAATAAGATTTCACACACATTCTTGTTTCCTAAGGACATGTTCTATGTTATCCTTTTTCATGTGTGTTCGACTTTACAAACTGCATTCATGATCTCTTTCTTGCCGTGATAAATTATATGCACGAGCTGTTAAATGTGTGTTTTTGAGATATTTTAGAACTCCAAAGAGGGTATCAATGTTATTCTCCATCTACATATTATTTTTATATTTTCTCTGTTTGAGAAAATATTTAGAGTGGTCTTTGTACTGCACATGATGTATTTTTAGATTGATTACCTATTGTACAGCAGTAATCATACAATTGAAAACCAAATTATTTGTCGTTAAGACTAGAGGCGACATGAGCCCTTACAAAATTTTATTTTAGACAATATTTCAAAACGTTTTAAAGAAAACGATGTGATCTCCAATTCGATCAATTAATTTTTTATGTGACATTTTCAAAATTAGATTTTTAAATGGAAAATCAACAATTTAAATATTTCTTTTTAGAACATTTCTTTCATAATAGAGAGAAAGAATTGAACATGATAAAATAAAAAAAATGGTTTATATTTTCATGCTCGTGTAACTAAAAACATAAACATGGAAGACAAAGTTACTAAAATCATGAAGGTGATAGTTAAAAACATCTTGAAAGGTAACCAATCTAACCTGTAAAAACTTTTCGATATAAAAAGGGTGAAGGAGGCGGGAAATGAAAGGGTTTCATTTCTCAGCCTTCGAAAATGGTACTCACCGGCAGAGAAAGTTTGTCTCGATTGATCGGAAAACGCCGCCGTTTCCTCCCCAATCGTCACTCTATTCTCTCCGATCCCATTCCAAACCCTAACCACCAACTCTCACAACAACAACAACCTACCACACCCGGTGACGGTGACGGTGACAACCCCCAAAACGACGCCGTACAGTGTCCCGTTTGTTCCCTCACACTTCCCTCCGATAATCACCGCATCAACACTCATCTCGGTACGCATTCATCATCATCAATTTAATTTAATTTCATTTCAAATTTCATTTCAATTTCAATTTCTGTTTTCAGATTCGTGTCTCTCTCAACCTAAACTAAGCGGAACAAAACGGAAACTCACTCAGCGGACTCTACTTCAGTTAAACTTCACTCGCCCTGATCCACACGCGCCGGATTACATGCTTCCAAAAAAATTGCAGTTCACTGAAAGTCCCATTGCTGTTAAGGATTCTGCAGTTATTACAACTGCATCTTCGCCGTCCGAATTGAACGTTATCGACACTGACCATCATGATATTGTTGACAATGTTGATGATGAATGTGACATTTTTGAAGTAAAGCTTGAAACTTTGATTGTGGGTAGGAGATATGCTGGTCGAGAGGAAGTACGTGCTGGTGATATGGTCTCTCTTTCAAGAGACTCGCAGAATGTTAAGGATCCAAATGCCATCAAGGTTATTGTTTTTCTAGCATCACTCGCATGTCTATGTCGTGTGTTGGTTTGTGTTGGTGTTTGACACTGGACACAACTTCAATGTGAAGTGTCTGTGCTACATAGGTTATTGTTTTCTAGTGACATTTATATGTCTATGTCGTATGTTGGCATCTGACACTAGACACAACTTTAACATGAAGTGTCTATGTGGAACGTCTATGTTGTATGTTGGTGTCTGTCTGACACTAGACACAACTTCAATGTAAAGTGTCTATGTTGTATGCCTACGTCGTATGTCTACGTTGTATGTTGGTGTCTGACACTAGACACAACTTCCATGTGAAGTGTCTATGTCATATGTCTATGTCATATGTTGGTGGCTGACACTAGACACAACTTCAACGTGAAGTGTTTGTGCTATGTAGGTTATTGTTTTTCTAGCGTCATTCAACTTCAATGTTGTATGTTGGTGTCTGACACTAGACACAACTTCCATGTGAAGTGTTTGTGCTACATAGGTTATTTTACCGAATAATCAAGTACATTATTTTCCTTCAAGTATACTCTTACTTTCACATTTATGAGATTTATTTAATTCACTTTCACTGATTAACCAATCATAAATTACTATTTGTATGATTTTTAAGATAGCTATGATTGGACTCATATTTTTAGTGATTCAACTACTGTTAACTTAAGAGTTAATATAAGAACATCCATGCATAGATTGACACATCAAATACACTGCCATTTTTTTTTATTTTGAATGTGGAACTTAAAGGAACTAGTTGCTCTTCTTGGTTGTTTCAGGTTGTTTCTGAAGATTCCGGTGGGTGTTCTAAATTTCTAGGTTATCTCCCTCGCGAGCTGGCACAGTATCTATCTCCTATAATTGACAACTATGACATTGTATTTCAGGTACGATAAAGTTTGGTTTGAAAGTGAGTTGCTTTCTGCATTTGTGTACCCTTTGTTTTGCAATTCTCCTTTGCTTTGTCTCCTTTTACTTTTATAGAATGAATTATTATCTACATAGAAAGCACATGATAGTTAAGTTGAGTTGCACATTGTGTGATTGCATTGCTCTACTTTAGAAAGTTTATTTGCTAAATAAATTAAGCAACAAAAGTTGTTGGCTGAAGTTTCATTGGGTTCATATGAGACTAAAGGGAATTTGCTGGCAATAGGAAAAGGTTTTAACTTTTAGGTTAAAATTTTTTTTTATGGGTACTTTAAGGGCACTATTGGATTTGTCGGGTTTTTAAGAAACTTGAAGATTCAACTATTAAATTTAAACAAGTGAGGTCTAGACAGAGTTATTAATCCCGGATAGCGGAGCGGAGCGGCCGACCCCTGGGAATGGGAAAAGTGGGAATAGCGGGATCCCGGATAGCGGGATAACCTTTTATATACTAATATTATATTATAATAATCTATAAAAGAGGGCTTGCGAACGGCGGAGATGTGAGACAAAAGTAGAAGAGGATGGAACGGTGGAGATTGGAGAAGATGTACTTGCTGGAACGGTGTATGGTGCTGTTGCTGCCTTGCTGGAAGCCTGGAACGGTAGAGAAGATGCAGACTGCAGTTGTATGTTGCTGCCTTGCTGGAACTGGAACGGTGGAAGTGGAACAGTGGAGAAGAAGGGCACAAAAATTAGGGCAGAAGAAGAAAGTGAGAAAGTGAAACGAAGGAAAGAAAATATAATGCAAATCTGTTTTAAAAAGTATTTTAAAAGAGGGGTAAAACAGTAATTTTGTCCAAAAAAAAAAACCAGGCCCAAACCGCTCCGCCCGGTAGGCGCCCGCTATCCGCGACCCGGGATAGCGGCGATAGCGCCCGCTATCTTCTCTCCGCCACCGCACCCTTGTGCGCGCGGCAGGCCTCCGCTCTGCTCTGGAGCGCCGCTATAGCGGCCGCTACGGGTGCTATTAACAACTCTGGGTCTAGAGACTATCAGATTTCAATATTTAAAGGTTTTGCTAGTGATTTATTCCGAATAAATTACTTGATCACTCAGAAAAGTATGGATTAAACTACTTTATTCAAGTCCTTATTATTTGTTTCTTTGGGGTTTATTCCAGGGACATGTCACTTCTGTTCCTAAACATTCTCGTGATGCAGTTCCAATTCAGATTATGTGCCACAGAACACCAGCTGGGGAAAGAAAGTATGAAGATGAGACTTTTAAATGTTTATGGAAAAATGCTCAGCATGTCGTTGAATCTGCTATCAAGAATCCTTCATCTGTGACGTACCAGCTGAATTTTTGTCTTATGATACAAGAGACCTTAAAAAATAATATTCACCTTCTAACAGAAGCTGAAAAAACCTATATCGGTATTAGTTTTAACATAAAACTTGTGAATTTGATTCTTTGGACTTTTTTTATCAGATAATCTAAGTAATGTCTCATCCGTTGACAGAATCATTCACTTCACTCTCAAATGATAGTCAGAGACTTTTTATTCGGATATACACTAGAAAAGGTTATTGCAACATTTGAAACTTGTCATTTTTTATATCAAGTGCTTGCAATATTTATAAAGGGGTTTGTAGTAGTACATAATAGAGATTGCAAACCATGGTAGAAATGTAAAGACTGTAGAAAGACATGGACTTATTAATTAAATAGAAATACGTTTTTCAAATCTTTTGGCACCTTCATATTAGAGGTTCTCGAAGATGCTATATACACAAAAATTGATCATAAATTTCTTGATGTGATATTATTTATCAGTTTTTTTAAAGTTCACATATTTTTTGTATTGTGCTCTTATGTAGGACCTTGGTTTCACATATCTAGTATATCGTATCCTGAAATATTGGATACTCAAAAGGCAGTCAAGGAACTTGCGGGTAATTTAATAAAATAGTAAGGTTTATTTTTATCTTCCCTTGAAAGTATAATTCGTTTTCTCCTACTTTTAAATCTTGGTATTGCCTCCTCAATGATTTGTGTCTTTGGGATGATCCTATTGCAGAGAAAGAATACATATGCACTGTTGAAGATAGAAATCAACTATGTGAAAGTGATATGAATGATATATTAGATGTGCTCACCGTCTCTGAGCTGCGTGAAATTTTGTCTTTCTTGCTTAAAAAGGTCGGAATCAATTACATCAACCCTGGCCATTCTAGTTTGTATTGTCCTTAAGCTTATACTCTCTTCTGAATAGGTTTTCAAAAAAACAATGAAAGAAGAAGGAACTTTCATATAGGTCTATCCAAATCTCAACTTGATTTATGCTGTCTCATGTTTCTTTAATTCTTTTTCATTCTTGCTCCACTTTTGCGAACTGTGTCAATATTTCAGATGTTACATGTAAAATGCATTTTATTATCTTTTTATTCATATTACTTTTATCATCATTATATAAGAGTGCAGTCTGAGCATGTATCTTTGTCATAATATAAGTGAATGGAGCATTTTGGATGGATCCTTCTAAATTTGGTTGTATCCATAGTTTGTGCTCCTACATTGATAATGGCTTCTGATGACTACATAGTGAGAGACATACTATGTGGACAGATACGGGTCAAACAATTGAACATTATATTGTGTTTCTCTATATAAATGTTTTAATAAAATAGTCATAAGTATGATGTTTTGCATTTCATACATGTAATTTCCTCTTTCTTTTTACTGTCGTTTCTCTAATTTATAACCTAGATATTAAATTTTTTATTTTTTATTTTGATGTTCTAGAGTTGCGGTCACGGGATGAAGAAGCAAGATCTCATTTCATCTATTCTTTCTACATCTGCAGGATTATGGTATCAAAATTTTAGGAGTGTTTTTACAATTTATAAAGGAGGTAGGATCAAATAAGGTTTTATGTAATGCTTAGTTTCTCCTGCTCTTGCTGTATGCAGGCCACATCTGTCAAATATGATTTTAGATAAAACTGGTTTCTGTATCAAGATTTCTTCAAAAGCTGAATCTCTTCTCTGGCGTATCGAGGTGACAGATTTATGTTGCGTTTGTAAATTTGAGAATTAAGTTAAAGCAGCATAATAGTAGGTCTGACGTAAATGGTTTTTCTTTTGCAGAGACTTTTCTTCTTAAATGGAGAACAGGATCTCTCGTCCTTTCTACTAGTTGATATAGGAAAAATCAAATATCCAACTTATACCTGCGCAATATCGGAACCAATATTCTCGAATCGCATGGATCTTCTTGCATTTGAAGAGGTAGATGTCTAATTTCCAAGATACTTGCGTCCTTCTGTTCCTGCTTCCATGTATAACTCTAGTTTTCAGGCCATTGAAGTGGCACAAGTTATGGATGAGGCTCTTGATGCAAACAAAACTGATATTGTATTGAGGTGCATAAAGATTGCTGAATCCCGTGTATCTGCTGTGTTGCCCATCCCGTACTCGACTTCTAAATTAGTATCTACATTCCATCACTTATTTACAGCATCATGGGTATACTCCAAAGTGGTTACGTTAGGGATTTCTTTTCTTGAGCAGGAGCGCAGGTACCGTTTGTGGTTTAATATACAAACTCTTGCACATTTTTGTGCATAAACATTGCAATTTTTTTTATCGTGTTGTGCACTATAGGTGATGAAGAAAACCTACTTCTGTTTCTCAGGTACAGTGATGCAATCGACTTACTTAAGCGGCTGCAAAATGTTTTCACTTGTGATGTAAAAAGAGGATACTGGGCACTGAGATTATCTGTTGACTTGGAGCATCTAGGTTACATAAATGAGAGCCTTCAAGTGGCTGAAAACGCGTTGCTGGATCCATGGGTACGAGCTGGTTCGAAAATGGCATTGCAAAGACGTGTTCTTCGCTTAGGAAAACCACCAAGACGGTGGAAAGTTCCAAGTTTTTCTAAATCTGTACTGCGAAAGATCCCTGAGGTGATCACTTTATTGTTTTATGATTCTCGATTCTGATATGCTTCCTTACGATTCTAAAGAAATTGACATTATAGATTACTTGTAACATATTATGATTTTCTCATAGTGACCCGTGATTATTCAGGTTTACGTTCAAGGGAGACCTTTGAATTCTGAATTGGGAGCAAAAAACAGGTTTTACAATGAAGAAGGTATGCAATGCGGAGTGGAAGAGCTTGCTTTGGATTATTACGCCACCGAGGGATGGCAAGGTGTTCATACAGAGAGTGGCATATGGTTAACTATTTTCGGGCTTCTTATGTGGGATGTAATATATGCCGATGTGCCTAATGTCTTCCATACTAGATTTCAGGTTCATTTTATTCCACGAGTAATTATTCCATCATATGTTTATTTACCTACAATATAGACTTGTAGCTTTATTTGATTATGAAGTATGAACACTTATTAGCCTTTGAATTTACAGAATGCTCCTTTGGATTTGGGTACCGACAGCTTTTATACCGCACGAGAGAGTATCATAGAATCCCATTTGCAGCAAATTCAGGATGGCATGGCTGAGGAGTTTCTTATCAAGTCATGGGAAACACATAACGGGACATCATGTAGAGGAGTTAATTGGGACCGCCATTCTTTAGACGAGCTTCGTGCTGCTGTTACTTGTGTTAGGGGCTCTTGTTTGGCATCTTTCTGCAAACTTCTTTGTGAAGACTACAGAAGCTGGTCTAGCGGAATGCCTGATTTGCTGCTATGGCGTTTCTGTGGAGAATACAGCGGGGAAGCTAAGGTTGTTGAAGTGAAAGGTCCCACGGATCGACTCTCGGAACAGCAGCGAGCATGGCTATTGATGCTTATGGATTGTGGATTCACGATCGAGGTTTGTAAAGTGAAACCTTTGTAGATCAGCATAAAATCATTAGTGGAAGCGCATAGAAGATTACAGCTCTTAGAAATATTGTAAATTGAATTATTGACCATAAGTGAAGTGTAAAATAATAATGTTAACCTCAGTCACAAAAATGAAAACAAATATTTAAAGCATTGTGTTAGTGTAAAACAAATAGACCATTATGTCTTATTCAAATTTAAAAATGGAAGTAGGTTAGATTCAAAGTTTTTGGATTTCATTTCTGCTGCTAATAGGATTGGAAAGTTTTAAGTCTTAACTATTTGTTACTCTGACAAAGTATATATATTATATTTTACCGAGTCATAATATTGTTCTCAAAGGTTCCAGGCTGTGTAATTGGTTCCGTAGCTATCTCATATCTTAGACATTTAATTTTTTTTAATAACAATGAGAATAACTTTTCTTTAAAATTTGAGGAGGAGGAGGAAGAATTAAACTTGACATGGAGAAGGCCTACGATAGATTAGAATGGAACTTCATTGAGAAAACTTTAATTACTACATATTTTCCTATCAAGACTGTCAACACCATCATGAAGCGTATCAACAAAGTCTCCTTCTCTATCCTTATCAATGGCTATCCTACGTCAAAATTTGTCACATCCAGAGCATTAGACAAGAAGATCCTCTTTCTCCTTATATTTCTATATTAGGTGCAGATATTTTTTCTAACCTTATCAATAAAGTCCACACTAATAACATCTTTTTTCTAACCTTATCAATAAAGTCCACACTAATAACATCTTTTCAGGAGTAAAAATTGCTAAGAGTGTCCCTTATATTACTCATCTTTTCTTCGCAGATGACAACTTAATCTTCTGGAAAGCAGAAGAGAAAGAGGCACAAACACTCTTCATTATTATCAATACCTACCAAGACAACCTGGGGCAACTCATTAACATCAAATCGGAGATGATGTTTAGCAAGGGCACAAATTAGTACAACCAAGACAAGTTCCAGAATATAATTCACATTGGGAACTCTAAAAATCTCAGCTTCAATTTTGTGTTGGACAGAATCAGGGCGAAGTTGAACAATTAGAAGGACAACAAAATCTCCTACACTGGCAGGGCCATCTACTTACATCACGAGCTCCTTTCTGATTTCTAAAGGGCTCTGTAAGAAGACGAAAAACCTTATTGCTAACTATTGGCGAGGGGATAAAAAAACTCATTAAGTGAAGTGGAACAAACAACAATGGGAGCTGGGATTCAGAACTTTTCATGAGTTCAATAAAGCCTTTCTTGCCAAGCAGATATGTGTAGAACTTTGTTTTGCAGGTAATAAGTTTTTCTTATGATGACAACTACAAAAGGTAAAATATTAAGAAGACTTCATGATAAAGAATACAACAAATGATAAGTTAAAGAATACTTGCGGTTAAAGATGCAAACCATGAATACATCAGTTTGATGAACTTGACTATTCCAATAAGAAGGCAAAACAACATAAAAGATGATATCCGACAAAAAGCTTGTACAAGGAGTCAAACTCCTAATTTAGTAAGTGAGTGACCTTTTATAAAAGCAAAATGGATTTTTCGTAAAAATATATAGATATAAACGCGCGTGCATACACACACACTAAAATTTTTTTTTTTTAAATGTTTTATCAAAAGAAAATGTTTTGAAAATAGATAGAAGTTGTATAGAAAAGGATGAGATCATTCAAAAAGCCATAAATATTTTTTAACTTAATTTAATCAATTAGAATAAAGTGTCAATCGATTAAATTAATTCAAATTTGAGGCGCGAGACAAACTGAATGCACTCAGATTTCACGCAACGACTACATCCATTGGATTTGAATGAATTAATCGATTGATCCAAACGATTAAGCAACCGTTATTTTGCTTTAATGGTGTTTCTTATTTTGGAAAATCTCATGCCTATAAATAAATGTCTCATTTCTTGTTTCAAAACATCCAGAAAATGATTTGTGTATTGACACACACACACTCTCTCTCTCTAAGTTTCATTTTTCACTTTCTCTCATTAGTTCTTATAGCCAACTACTTTTGTGAGGAAAGTATCATTTGTGAGTGAGACGATCTTTGTAATACTGAAAGGGTAGCATTGTATAAGTTCTCCAAGGATGTTATTTGTGAATCTGGGATGAAAACAATCCATTTAGGGATCATATACATGGTTAGAAGTTAAATCCGCTAAAAGTTTATGGTTGAGGATTATGAGATCAATTCCTATTAGTTTTCATATTTAGGCTGAAGATCATCTATCTTTGATGAACTTATCATAGGTTCATGGTTAGCTTGGTTAAAATCATAGGTTAGAAGACTAACATGTTAAAATCTCAAGAGGTTGTTAGTTATCATGTTAAACTAATTGAGCTCAGTTATTTTTGTGGAAATTGGAGACTAACCCTACAAGGTCCATGTTCGTGGAGAGAAGACTAATCACTTCAATATATAGTTGGGAAGAAAACTTGGCCACTTCAATCTCAACATTTCATTGGAGAAGACGCAAACGTTCATATCTTCCGTCTTGTATTATTTTGGTTGAAGGACAACCACCATTTCCTTGTATAAGGGGGTTCGTGAGCCTTTCCTACTAAAAACTATGAAATATTATTTGTTAGTTCTCTAATTTATGATTGACATTAATTTTAGTAAAACAAATATAGAATAAATATGCTTAATAGGAGGTTCTAACTTGTTGAGAAAAACATGTTGAGCAATAAGTCTTATTTTGTGAAGAAACATGTTGAGTTGAGTTGTTTCATCAATTGGAGTAACATGTCGGACAAGATGTCCTATGCAGTGTCATTAGACATCGTAACTGTTTGGGCCGGACTGTTGAATTCGTTTAAGATTTAACAGATGAAAAATATTCTGAGAATATTATGCTATCCTAAGTGGCCCTGATTTTAAGGTCTGGAAGATTCAAGCTGAAATTAAGAAGAATATTGACTTTCTAATTATGAAGATAAATTAGGAAAATCATGATTGAAGTTTGTAGCGGTAGAAATATTGAGACTAAGCTATTGGATTGACTTAACTCCTACAAATCAAATAAAAATCGTCACCGCACTTTATTGTTTCCAAAGTGTTCTGGACTGGGCCCGACTGGCCCAATAGCATTGATAAGGCCCAATCCAAACGGACTTGCTGGGGGTCACGCCGACCAAAGGGTCACAGTCGTGCCCGACGTGCTCCCTGGGGCTACTTGCTCGACCTCCTATTGTCCAGCTCGACCTCAGCTCAAGCACCCCTCTTAGGGCAGACTCAGTCCACCGCATTCTCAACGGGACTCTGAAAAGACCGCGTCTCTGTCCGCCCGCACTTCACGCAGAACATCCAGGGAGGGGACCACGTGCGGGTCCCCACTACGCACGTAGAACTTGGCAGTTCCTCCATTGGGCCAAACCTGCCCGGCCCAATGAAGGAACCTTGGCCCAGCGCTGGGGGCTATAAATACCCTCTGTTTCCAGAGGGTCAGGTATTCATCATTCTACCCATACTCTTACTATTTCCTGCTCGTGCTCTTACTCACTTCAGCATCGGAGTGTCTTGCAGGTACCCCCCCACCTCGTTCAAAACTTCAGCTCGGAGCCAGCCGTGACGGTCCAAGTCTGATCAGGTCAGATCAGTGGCGCCGTCTGTGGGAAACTAGCTTCCCCGTCTTGCAAACTCAAAGACCAAAGCTCAAATTCAACTACCGGTCATGGCTGATCAAGCTCGCGACGAGTAGAACGTCCGTGTCGCCGACACTAATAACGGCACCACGGACAAAAACGGACATCTTGACAACGCCGGCAATCCCGGCCACAACACCATTCCTGCAACAACCGCCCCCGGAACTTCCTCCTACAGGGACAGAGCTACTGCATCATCCTCCTCGCTCCCACCACCACTCGAGGACGACCCGGCGACCCTCGCCCACTACAGAGCCGCCCGGTTCCAGGAAGTCCCCGTCCCCTCTGGGGCGGATGCCACAACACAAGCGCTGTTCGCAGCAATTAATCAAACGAACTATCTCATCTTCTCCCAAGGAGAGAGATTAAAGGCGCTTGAAGACGAGCGAAGACCCCCGAGGAGGCATCAGAGACCACATACTCCCCCTCCTCGAGTGACTGAAGCTCGACACTCCTCTCCCCCGCGGAGACACTACAGGGAGACCTCTCGAAGGCCATCTCCCCGGCCAAAACAGAGACGGCCTTACCTGGAGAGGCAACCCATCATTCAGGCCGGAGAACCTAGTCGCGACCCGGCGGTGCTAGAAAGAAGGCACTCCGGAGATGGGCGAGTGAAATTCAACAGCCGAGCATCCCGCTCGAGAGAAACTCAGCACGATTTGGAACGTCGTGCCAGACAATATTACAGGTCCCCTTCTCCGTCTCCGGAGAGAAGCGACGAGGACGACCCCCGCGGTCCCCTGTCACAGGCTATTATGGAGGCACCCACCCCCTCGGGCATGGAGAAGCCCCCTCACTTGAAGGAGTACGATGGAGTCGCGGACCCGGTCGACCACATAGACGGGTTCGAGGCTATGCTTCACTATCACAATGTCGGGGGCCCCATCAAGTGCCGTCTATTCCCCACGACTCTCAGGAAGGCGGCAATGGACTGGTATAAAGGACTCGCCCCGGGCTCAATCACGTCGTGGCGGAACCTGAAGAACCAGTTCATCAGTTCCTTCGTAGCTTCTCGGCGCCATCCGAAGATTGAGGCGGCCCTCGAGGTCATCATCCAAAGACAGGATGAAACCTTGAGGGAATTCATCAACCGCTTCAACCGGGAAGCAATACAGGTCCCCTGCGCGGACCATATGAAAAGATACTTGCTGGAGAGAGGGCTCCTCCCCGGCACAGAATTCAGAAAGGCCGTGGGTATCGAGCCACCTCGGATGTTTGATGCCCTCCTCGAAAAGGCCCGAGCATACATGGACTACAAGGAGAGGAAGGCGGCCAACAAAGCCCGAGATTCCAAGACTCGTGGTCCCAACAACAGCTCGCGCCAAGAGGCTCCTCCTCGAT